TTTTTTTGGGGGGGGGTTGTTTGTTTGTTTTGTTTTTTGTTTTTCGAGACAGGGTTTCTCTGTAGCTTTAGAACCTGTCCTGGAACTAGCTCTTGTAGACCAGGCTGGCCTCGAACTCACAGAGATCCGCCTGCCTCTGCCTCCTGAGTGCTGGGATTAAAGGTGTGTGCCACCACCGCTCGTTTGATTTGCCGTTTCTGTATGCTAGAAAACACCAAGTTCTTCAACCTTGGGACCTTCAAAAGTGCTGTTCCCTTTGAGGGGAGTCCTGGGCCTCCAGATATCCGCAGGACTCCTGGGCTCCCAGCCCTCCCTGCTGGACCTGCACCCGCTCAGCTGTCTCCATGTTCACGTCTCCTGAGCACTTATGGCCCCACATTATCTGCTAATTTGCTTCATTTGCCTGCTTGTTTATGGCCCTAACCACCCAGGATGTAAGTTTCTTGAGAGCTGACCCAGCCCTGGCTACATTTGGAGTTTGCTAAGCATCTGAGTGGCCTCTGAGCACTTCTGAATGAATGAACAGCTAGTCTTGCAAATGACGTTGTGTTTAAGTGACTGATTCTCCCACAGGCCTCCCTGAGCCAAAGGGCAGTAAATGTTCCTTAATAGAGGCCTGGAGAACACTCTGGGCCTGGCCCTCACCCAGCCCTGAAGCTCCCCGGGTACAGGGAGCCGGGAGGCTGTCTGAGCTTCCGGCTGCTCCAGGATAAAGGTCAGCCCTTTGCTGGAACACAAGGTACTGCACCATCTGGGCCTGCCTGCCTCTGGCCTCATCCCCCTGGCCTCCTCAACCTGCACTCTGTGTCCAGCCAGACCAAACAGTGCCTGGTGCCTGCCACACAGCACAGGACTGTCTCATGCCCTCTGTCCCTTGTACCTGGAACAATTTGCATGCTACTGTGCCTAGCCAGCTCTCTGCAGACTTAAGAAGATTTACTTCCTCCAAAGGGAACTTGCCAGAACCTTCTGCTCTGGCCACACCCAGGTCCCTGAGTTCTCAAGGCTTTAGGATGATATGGTTTTATGCATTTTTTCCCCAAGTTATTCAGTGTTCTTGAGAACAACCACCAGCATCCATGTCTCCAGGGCAGTGGTTCTCAACCTGTGGTTCACGACCCCACAAGGATCTAACAACCCTTTCACAAGGGTCACATAACAGCTATTCCGCATATTTCCATTATGATTCACAACAATAGCAAAATTACAGTTATAAAGTAGCAACAAAAATAATGGTATGGTTGTGGTCACCACAACCTGCGGAGCTGTGTCAAAGGGTTGCAGCACTGGGAAGGGTGAGAAGCTCTGCTCTAGGGGAAGGCACGAAGCCAGCTGCACATAGGAGGTACTTAGTAAAGACCTAGCTTTTGCAGTCTGGTCCCAGAGCTTTTGTCAGGTGCCAGAGAAGTGGCCTGAGTTGATAAGCCTGACTCTGGCAGAAGCTTGGGGAAGGGTCATCTGGCCAGCGAGAGGGCTCAGCAGGTAAAGGGCCTGCCTCCAAGCCTTACTGACCTGAGTTCAATCCCAGGGCCCATGTGGTGGAGGGAGAGAGCTGACTCCCTAAGCAGTGCAGTCCTCTGTCAATGTGCACTGACTCTCTCCTCTCTCTCTCTCTCTCTCTCTCTCTCTCTCTCTCTCTCTCTCTCTCTCACACACACACACACACACACAAAATGTAGTATCTTAAAAAATACGACCGGCAGATAAGAACTGTATAAACAGAACTCTGAGTGAGCGAGAATGGAAAAAGAGGAAGAAGAGTAAACTTAGGGGAAGAAAATGCTGCCTAGAACACAGTGTCCCCCAGAGAGCCACCGAGGACAGGAAGCCAGGAACCAGCACAGAGGAACCACACAGGGGCTATTTGGTGTCTCTACTCCATCCGCTGGGGTGGAAGAGTAGCGTGGGCAGGCCCTGTGGAGCTGTGATTCTCTCCTCTCCTGGGGTGACAGGGCTCTATGAAAGGCCATACACACCACCGGATATAGGACATCCTGGAAGTTTCTTCATCTCTCAGCTCAGAGGAGCCCTGTGACAGGAAGCCAGGCACCTTGACCTTGAGCGAGCACTTTAGCTACCCTGGTCTGTTTCCCAAGATGCAGGGCTAACAGCCCTCTCGGAGGGGGCTCACACTGAGTTAGGACTGCCACGTGGTGACAGTCAGAGCCAACGTCTAGATTCTTCCCTGAAACCCTGCTGTGGACAGTGAGACTATGTTATGGACCACGCTGCTGTGAGCTGAGCAAAGTAGCCCAACCCAGCACTCAGACGACAGAGGCAGGAGGATCAAGAGTTCATGGTTCTCCTCAGTTTTACAGAGAATTTAAGGCTAGCCTGGGCTACAGCCCTGTCTTATCAGGCCATTTACCTCTGAGAGTGAAGGAGGTAACAACAGATAGTTCAACTGTCCCAAGCTGGGAGCCATGACAGGCAAGCCTGACACTGCAAATCTTCTGGTGATGGTGTCATGGGGACCTTGCAAATGGGTCAATTCATCCTGTCCCACAGGCCAGTGTCACCGATGCTGTGCGCAGAGGGTTGTGACAGGAGGGTCATGAATTCAAGGCCAGCCTGGGATATATTGCGTGACACGTCTATAAACAAATAGTATGTCCAGTTCCATTTTGCATCTTGGGTAGGGACTGAGTCCAGGCATTGAGATCCTGGTGTGGATCTCTGCCCTCCCTAGGCCCCCACCTCTGCCTGTGCCCTGTGACTGCTAGGGCAGATGCTTGAACAGTCCAGATTCAGGGTGTCAACCTCACTTGTCCAGCCGGGTTCAGGGTTATTGCTGAGGTACAAGAAACAAATACGGGAATCAAAAGAGAGGGATGGAGTTGACCTCAAACACAGAGAAGCTGGAGAGGAGGGGAGGGGAGGGGAAGGGAGAGGAGAGGAGGGAAGGGGAAGGGAAGGGAGAGGAGAAGAGGGGAGGGGAGGGGTAGGGAAGGGAGGGGAGGAAGACCGAGAGAGAATGAACATGAACTGGGGGCTTCCTGAACCCTTCTGGAGTTTGCCTTCACCCTCCAGGATGAACTCACTGGGCTCCCCACTGCTCCATGGGCTGTGGGGACTGGAGACTGACTCTGTGAGCCTTGGGGGATACTGGGGGGGAGGAGGAGGTGGGCAGATGAGAGCCGCTGGTGCTGGACAGCAGGATGCCACTGCTGGAGGAGTATAAATAAGAAACAGCCAGTGTAGGACTGGACAGAGGCCATTTGAAACACACGGTACATTCCGGCCCCAGTGTAACAAACTGTACCAGCCTTCCTGAGAGCTGGGAGCACTGCAGAGGGGCGGGAAGACAGCAGAGAAGCCTCCCCCCTCCTCCCACAGCCCTGGCACCACACAGAAAGCCCCTGTCCCCTGGCAGCCACAGGAAGCCTACCATCCCCGCTCACACTCTGTACCAAGTTCCTCTCCCAGCTCCAGACAGGGGTGGGGAGTCAGAGGAGGGTGGGAAAAGGGTGAGACTTGGGGGTGGGAGCCACGAGCCTGTGCGAGGAGTAGGGGCAGGCTGCCACCACAGCCCAGGCAGCACAGGGGAGATGGCAGGCATCCTTTAGACAGGGACCCACCCTGTCAGTCACAGCAAGTGAGGGTTGCAGGGAAGGTGACTGAGGAAGTGCCTTACCCAAGGTCACACAGCCGGTTGGTTGTTCTCGGGGTGGGACAGAGTTATCCAGAACCGGGCAGTGCTGGGCACTCTTGGGTGTAGGATTGTAGGAGTGGCAAGGCAGGGAACAGGCAGTGCCCAAGGACTAAGGGTGGGGAGCCCACAGTCAAGGCTGCCCCCACCATGCTTTGCTAGGCCGTGAGTGGGCGAGGCTTGGGTACAGTCCCCTTCCCAACCTTCCCCAAACTCCCCCTTACATAGCAGAGATAACACTTGTGAAATATTTCGAGTGAAGGCTGTTTGGTGGGGATATCAACTAAAATGAGTCACCTCCACCCCTCCCCTATTCTACATACACACACACACATACACACACACACACCACACAAAACCCCAGGCATAGCACCTTCTGGGGCCCTTTTGTTTTTCATATCACCCCCTTGTTCCTTGGAGGTTTCTAAAGCTGTTACATACGTCAAACGTTTACCTGTTGGTTTAGGTTAACCATACACACACTGGGTACAAAATGTG